GCCGTCCCTCGCAGAAGGCAGGCAGTGCCGTGGCTGCTGTGGGTTTCTTGTTTGGGTAGTGGTAGATGCCGTGTGCTGGTTTGTGTGTTCTGGTTTTGCAGCGGAGTCGCAGGACATACTGGCTGGAGGTGCATCGGTGCAAAATAACGGCCCTGTCCGAGCTGGGCAGGGTTCAGCGGGCGCGGAGCGGGGAGAGCACACTGCTCTGGAGATTGTATGTGGCCTCTTCGCAGTGTCTGAATTTTTCTTTTTTGCTTGTAGAGGGTGAATTCTTGCTTTGCACTAACACTTTGCACTAATACCTCTTCAACTCTTAGCTGGTTTTATAAAGTCACCGCTGTCTCAAAAGAGACTGACTCAGGACAGCGTCGAGTTGTACTGCGAGGCGATTGGCAATCCCATCCCTGAGATCCAGTGGTGGTTTGAGGGGAACGAGCCCAATGAGACCTATGCTCAGCTCTGGGATGGCGCACGGCAGGACCGTGTCAAAATCAACGCCACCTACAACCTGCACTCTACCAGTACCATCTACATCGCCAACCTCACGAGCGACGACTCGGGCACGTACGAGTGCCGGGCCAGCAACGACCCTGACCGCAACCACTTGTCGAAGAGCCCCAAAGTCAAGTGGATCCGTTCCCAGGCGAACGTGTTTGTCATCGAACGTGAGTGGCCACACTGAGGCCTTGGCACTTGCTCGGACACTGGTGTCTTGAGTCTCCTGCCATGCTCACCCCTGCACCCGTGTCCTGTGGCTCCCGAAAGCTCCCCTCACCCTCCCACCCTGGCTGTAGAACTGAGAGACTCCCCCCCTCTGTCATCTCCCTCACCTGTGACTTGACCCGAAATGGCCCCACTCAAAAAGGGTTGTGGCTTCCCAACCAAAACGCCCTCCCGCAGTCCTGCGCCTGTTCCGGAGCCAAAGACCTGGAGCCTACTGCTTATTCCCGAGTGCCTCCGAGTCCCGGTGCTGGCTTGCAGAATCGAGTCCTGATTCCGCTGTAGACTTTGCCCTAACCACTGACATCCCGGCCCTTCCCTGCAGCTCGCGCGGCTTCTGCTCCTGGGAACAGCCCTGCTTTAAGCGCGCTTCCGTGCTGGTGATCAAGCTGTGGGGAACGAAACCTGCTCTCGGTTTCTTGAGATGCAACCGTTTTTGAAATGGCCGTGTCTGTGTGACACTGAATGTGATGTGGTGTTTGTCCTGTGGAGGTGACAGGTCCCCTCCGCTCGCAGAGCCGGCAGTCAAGCTCTGGAGCTAACGGGGCTGCTCTGAGTGCTGGACACCAGGGCCAGTGCGAGGTCTGCGAAGGTCTCACCGTGCATCCTGAAGGTCGCAGAGCAGCGTAGTCTGTTCAGTGTAAATGTGCTAGGGAATGCAGAACTCCAGCAGAACCTTCTTCCAGTGGAATTTGGGTAGGAGGAAAAGCAAAAGGTCTGTCAGCCCTGTGTTAACATTGTTCCTTCCAAGAGGTTGAGACTGGGTGGAAGGGCAGGAACCGTAGTGCCAATGGGGCTGCTAATGGCAGCTGCTTTCTTGGGCTGCCTCCTGCAAGCAGAAATGGTCCCAGTCCTCCTGGGTAATCTACTGCTGCTTGGCACAGGGAGGCCCAGGACCTCTTGGAGTCCTGGTTCCGTGTGCTCTCCCTGGAGTGAATGTAACTGGAGTCTCTTGGGCTGCCTCAGATGGTGCACGTGCTGCTCACTGAAGGTCTTGTTTGCTGCCCCTCGCAAAAGAGGGTCTTTGCTGCCATCAGTTACGTTGCCTGGGGGTGTCAGCTCTGCTCAGATTCTGGACGCTGACACAGCTATAGTGGCTCATAAGAGCAGAGATGTCCCCTTATAACTGCCCTTCGTAGGACGACCTTTTCCATTGCTTATCGAGCGCTTGGCGCTGCTGGAGATGCACCCGCTGTAGGGACAGCAGGGACTCGAAACCACCCGGAGCACATGGCAGCGGTCCTGCTCGTGGTGGGAGCGACTGCAGGGTCAGCATCCGTTGTCACTGGGTGCAGTCAGGCTGTAGTTGCCTGGTTTTTTTTCAGTCTCTCCTATGCTGGTATCAGCAGTTCTGGTAGGAAACTGCAAAGGTAAGTGAAAGATATGATAGAGACAAGGAGCTGTGGGTTTTGGTAACTTTGCATTAAAGATTCTTGGGTAGGTGTGTGGCCTCTGGAATACTACATGTTAACTTCAGTCGAATTATTTATGAATGCAGGTCCAGACATCAAGACGTACGTAACTGGCAGTTCTGGCAAGGTGACCCTCACCTGTAACATTTCTGCGACTCAGTCTGCCATCAAGGGTCACGAGTGGATACACAGGGACCAGACAATTCACACGGACACGGAGCCGACTGCCTTCACCAGTTACACGTGAGTGTCGGGGCAAGGTCAGATAAGAATCTGAACAGAGGGGACAAATTTTAAACCAGAGGCAGTTAATGTGTCCCATCAGCTGAACCCAAAGCGAAGCGCTTGCAGTCTTGCTGAAGGCTTTTTAGCCTTTAGAACGTAAAATGAGCTAAACGAAGTTTTGGTAAGGCTCAACGTTTTCTCCTTTGTGGGGAGGAGGGGGCAAAAAGGAGAAGGAAGGGGAAGTTATGTGCCACAAATAGCCTCTTAGTAAGAGAAGTGCTGCTGCGTCATGTTTGCATGTGGGCGTTCCGCTGGGCTCTGGGGCTTGTGCAAGGTTGCACACCGGGGCTGCTGCCTGGCCTGGGGCTGCACTGGCATGGGTGTGCCAGAGCTGTTTTCCCAGAGCTTTGAGGGATTCCTGCTTCCAGAGGCCCTGTGTGCAACGGGAAACTCCAGGGTATGTTGTCTCTGCCTTTGGGTTTCACGAACCTTTCCAAAGTCCAGCCGTTCTCACAGGGAGCTGGGAGGCTGCCTGCAAATTATGGTCAGAAACTGTTTGCAGGGTGTAGCTGAGCAGAAGCGGGAATACCGGCCTCATTGTGGCCGTGCAGTGAGCTTTCCCTTCTGATTACAGTCAGGCCTGCCTGGCACTGACCCAGCAGCTGTAGAGGCATCATGTCCTTTTGTACGGCAGTGCCGACGTGCCTGTCTCCCCATAGCAACAGGGAGCTGAACAAGGATTAAAGTATTTATAACCCAGCCTCCCTCGCGTGACCTCAATTCCTTAGCTGAGTGGTTTTTGGAAGTGGGAAGCGCCGTGCACGGCAGAACTAACAAACAGCCCGTTGTCCCAGCGCAGCCACGGGACCGAAACTTTGCCCCTTGCCTCGAGCGGGTATTACTGAGCCGCAGAGTGCGATGTTTGTTGCAGCGCAGCGTAATCCGCTAAATCGCATTGCAGCAGCTTGACAAAAAGGAGAACGAGAGAGTTTTCCCTACGCTTGGGTCCATCCAGAGTAACCCAGCCTGGGTGTGTCTGCCGCTGCTCTGCCGGTGTTTGGGAGCTTTCCTGCACGGGAAGAGTAGCCTTCCTCTGGATCCGTTGTGCTAAGCTCCTTCAGAGAACTGCGGGCTGGTGTCTTGGCCGTGTCCTGGGTTGTGCTAACTGGAGGACTGCACCTGGTGATGGTGGAAGGTCCTGGCGCTCCTGGTTTTCTCATCTGTACTAGCTAACAGTCTAGGCCTTATTTTTTTTTTTCCCTTTGTAGAGTCCCTGTGGCAAGAGAGCTTTGGGTTAGGGAGTGAAAGCTGCTGGCTTTCAGGATTCACGATGCAAGACCAGAAGGGCTCCGTGATCACTGACTTGGCAGACCTGTGTCAGATTTGGTGTGTGTGAAACCCTCTTCTGCCTTCCCCAGCGGTGGGGAGAGAAGGGTGGAGAGTGGAGCTGCTGTAGGAACATGGTGCAGCGTAAATACTGGCACTGGAATCAGGGGAATTGCCTGTGGAGGAGACCGCTGATGCTTATAGGGGTCTGGAGTTTGAAATGTTTGTGGTTAAGTCAGTTGTGCCGAACGCTTATTTGACATCCTGGTTTTTGACAGAATCGAGGGGAAGATGGAAGATCACTCCGGTGTCTATGAATGTGTCTACAAAACAAGCCCGATGATAAAAGGACAAGTGAATGTTTCAGGTACCTTCATACCTTTGCTTCTGGGTCTGAGGAGGGGAGTGAGGAAGCTGTCATCTCCTGAGCACGTGGCTTTGGTATCTTGTCAGCTTCTTGAAAAGCTGCGTGCAGCCCGTACAAACAGAGCTGCAGGACCCTGCACGTGTACTGCCAGGTGGGGTCTGTGAGGCAGCTCCGTTCTTTCAGGCACCTGAAGTGTCTGTAGGGTCGGCTGTTAGACCTTGTGCTGTGGGCATGTTCCCACAAGAATGATGGGAAAGGGGTAGTACCGGGTGGGCAAATCTGTTTGAGTCTCTCTCGAAGCAGCTTGCTGTGCTTTCCTCTCTGAAAATGCCAAACCAGGGGCAAGTGAGGGAGACAGACCCACTAACGTGCTTCTTACGCTGATGTCAGGCTGTGTGGATAACTTTGATTCTGGCTAGGTGGACGAATCTTCTGTTTTCTATAGTGAGGTGTCTGATTTTCTTTTTCTTTTGCTGTAGTTGCACCTCAAGTGACGGCATACAAGAAGTCTGAGCATGGCAATGAGGGGGACACCGGTGTGCTGACCTGCAAGAATCCCTCTTTCCCCCCTGTCAGTTCTTGGGTCTGGTACAAGGGTAGTGAAAAGGTAGGTGCTGTGGTCTGCTCTTTCTCCCCTTCTGTCTACTCTGCTTCAGAGGTGGAGGACCTTGTCCCTTCAGAATGAACTGTTTCAGAGTACCCTCCTCAGTGCCACGGCAAGGAGGATTTCTGTAGTGGTAGGACCACACGTGGTAAGTGAGCAGCTTCCCTCATGCCAGCACTGCCCTGAGAACTGTCTGTCTCCCTCCCTGCAGGCCATCACCAATGGTTCTGATCGATACATCATCAAGTCCAGTGGCAACAAGACAGAGTTACGCATTCTTAAACTGAATATTGAGGAGGATACAGGTGACTACCACTGCAATGCCACCAACTCGGAGGGCACTGGTGGCGCTACGGTAAACCTGCGTGTACGCAGCCGCCTGGCAGCTCTCTGGCCCTTCCTGGGTATTGTGGCAGAAGTCCTTGTTCTTGTCACCATCATCTTCATCTATGAGAAGAGGAGGAAGCCAGATGAGGTTCTTGATGGTAAGAGGTGCCTGGGGTTAGATCTTTCTGGGGAGACCAAGTAACTTGTAGGGTGCAGGCAAAATGTTTTCCTACAGAACTTGGAGTTCCCTTTGTTGGATGGATGCTAATTTGAGGGCAGCTTCTCAAGGCTACTTCTTGTAAAACCATGGTAGTCTTTACCAGACTACTTGAGCCATGAAGCTGCAAGTAATTACACTGTTTCTGACAGTCCTTCACCAAGCTATGCTTTGGATCTGGAGTCAGATAAGATTCATAGAATGGCTTGGGTTGGAAGAGACTTCAAAGATCATCTAGTTCCAACCCCCCTGCCATGGGCAGGGACACCCTCCGCTACACCACGTTGCCCAAAGCCTCATCCAACCTGGCCTTGAACGCTTGCAGGGATGGGGCATCCACAGCTTCTGTCCAGTGCCTCACCACCCTCATCGTAAATAATTTCTTCCTTAGATCTGATTGAAATCTGCCCTCTTTCAGTTTAAAGCCATTGCCCCGTGTCCTGTCGCTACACACCCTTGTCCAAAGCCCCTCCAGCTTTCTTGTAGCCCATTCAGGTACTGGAAGGCTGCTGTAAGGTGTCCTTGGAGCCTTCTCTTCTCCAGGCTGAGCAGCCCCAACTCTCTCAGCCTGTCTTCACAGGAAAGGTGCTGTTCAGTGCAGGTCAGCCTGACCCTGTGTCTCACCAGTTCCTCTGCACTTTGCTCCAGTGCTTCATGTGAGTGTTTGCAGGACTGGGCTTTCTTTGGCAGCTAACATTCTGGAGAAGCTGACTTCTGAATAAGTATTGGAGCTTTTCTGGTGCTGCAGAATCGGGGGACTGTGTCAGTGGCTCTGTAAGACCAGGCGTAGTTAACTCAGGTTCAGTTCATGGATCTGTTTTGGGTCCTCAGATCTGCATGTCCTGACTCTGAGACTTCCTGCAAGCCTAGTGCTATCTTTAATCCGTTCTGGAAATATCAGCTCCTCCCTTTCCTTATCAGTAAGAATCTGCATTGTGTTCGCCCAGCTGCCCCTCCCCTTATCTGATCCAGTTAACAATGGAGTGTAAACGCTTGGTATCCTTCCTGCCTGCTGGGCCGGGCTCCTCAGCCCTGGCTGGGGACCAGCACATCAGGTAGGCTGAGTGATGGGAGGTGCAGCAGAGGGACTAGAACTGAATATCCCTGCCCTGGCTCCAGGGCTTGGGGAATTCTGCTCAAGGCAGCTTGACAGGCAGATGCTTTGCCCTCTGACACTCGGCTGGAAGGTAAATGTCATCTTAAGGATGTAGCTGCATCTGCCAGCAAAAAAACATACAGCCTGTGTGTGTTGAGTGATCTGGCTTCTGATGACATCAGCCTGGTCCAGATCATGTCAAGTGCTGACCGGTCAGAGCTGTAGCAGGTGCTTTGACAGATGAAGATGGGGCATGTGTACTGAAGTGTCCTGGTGCTCCTGGGACGGAGCTCTTAAGTTCAGGGTCCCGAGTGCTTGTGGATGAGATTAATGTCGTACCTGTTTGACAGACATACACAGCTTTACACTCTCCTGGTGTAAGGTGGTTGTATCTCCCGAAAAGTCTTCGTAGCTTTGCTCCCTTGAGAGGAGAGAACAGTAAGGCATTGCTGAGCCACCTCAGCCAAATGCTGTTCCTCACGGTACGTGATTGTGAATTGGACGCTTCTTGTTACCTGGGATGGGGAGAGTCTGGCTTGTGTGTGGTGTGATATCCTTGCTGGTGTTACCTTTCCACTCTTCCCTTCTCTGCTGCTGGGGGCCACCTCAAATGGTAAGTAGAAGATGGTTCCAGCCATGTTTCTGCATCTGTCCTCTCACCAGCTGTGTGCAGATCTTGGTGCCCAAGGCAGTCCCAGTGCTCAGAGCACAGCCTCACCACTTGGTGCTGTTGAGGGGAGCCTGGACTGTGGAAGAGATGATGGGGAGCCTTCTGTTGGAAGGTGGCAGACTGCAAGGAGCTGGTGAAAGGCCCCAGGGCTTGGCATGTGTTGGCAGAGATGTTTTCTTAGCTGTGCTTCTTGGTGTAGCAAGAATGTGGTGTGCAGTGTGGTGTTGATTTCCTGAAACGCGCGGGGAGGAATAAAGGCGTACTGCTGCTGGTACACAAAGCCTCATTCCTGAAACATCGTCTTTGGATTTCCCTTTGTTTGCTGTTGAAGTCTGCTCTGATCTGGGAGCCATCTGACTTGGTGGTGCTGTAGGGGTGAGAGCAGCAGGTGGGTCAGTGGCAGCAGTGCTGTCTTGCCGGGTGGATCTGTGGCTCTCTCTTCCAGTTTTAAGTGCTGCTGGTAGGAACACTGGCTGGTTCGCTGAGGACACACAGGGTGCAAATGTTAAATGGATGTTACCAGTCAGCAGTGCTGCTTCGGGGGCCGCCTGGGTGCTCCCCTGTGTGATCCTACTTCTGTGGCCTCCTGGGGTAGTCTCAAGTGTGCCTCAGGGTTAATGCGGTGCCAGACCTGACCTCTGCTGATTGGCAGTGGGCTGGTGGTGACTTGGTTGTCCTGCGAGCCGAGCTGACCCTGTGCCAACAGGAGCAACTGCGTAACAGGAGCTTATGTCTAAGTTTGTGCCTTGTCTAAGCTTAGACAAGAAGCAGCTTAACTCCTGCAGGGGGTGGTGGTGTGCTGGTGAGGAGTAGCCCCTTGCTCTGCCAGCTCCTGGTGTAACAGGAGCCCTGTGGGTGATGTGACCTTTTGGGTTCAGTCCTGTTGTCATGGCTTGAAGTGGAGGGGGGAGGTCTGGGTGTCAGAACTCTGTCCCAGCTAAAACCAGGACACCTGTGCAGGCAGTAGTATCCAGTGTATCCAGTAACGTGTCTGGAGTGCAGTCCCCAGAGTTGAAAGAGGTGGCAGAGATTACTTCTTACATGCTCTTCCCTGATGCTGTTCTCTCTCTTTCTATGCTGTCCTGAATGTGAAGATGATGATGGAGGTTCTGCACCACTGTAAGTACCTTGCTATTTCCTCTGTTCTGGCAGGTCACATCCATCCAGGGAATCTGCTCTGAATATAAAGACTAAGAGGTGTGGGAATAACACACTAACTTGCTGGGCAGGGGACTTACCCCCACGGTTCATTTCACGTGGCCTGTGTATAGCCCATGTGTAACTGGGGATGGTACCAGTGTCTCAAAAACTGTTGCTGTTCTGGTAACAAATCTCTCCTTACCTTGACCATCTGTTTGGACCTGAATTACATTAGTGGGTGGAGTGGGGCTTTGTGCTTTTTCTTTCCTCACTGCCCCTTTTCTCTTTGCAGGAAAAGCAATGCCACAAACCACAAGGACAAGAACGTCCGCCAGAGAAATGCTAACTAAGAGCAGGGGCCAGGTGAGTGCCGTGCCGAGGGCAGAGAGCACTGTTGTGCCAGGCTCTCCGCCTCCTGGCAGCAGCAGCCGGAGGTCCGTTCCAGCTGCTCAGAGGTCTGGCCTGGCTGCAGTGTCTGCATCTGCAGAGGGGCTCTGGAAGAAGCAGAAACATCCATGTGGGCAGAGGCTCTTCTGGCCCAACATCACGGTGCAGGATCTGGGGCGGTGGGGGGCGCAGGCCGTTAGTAGCCTGGTAGGAACCTGACAAAGCTGCTGGGACTGCGTGTGGGGAACAGCAATGAGGCCTCTGCCTGGACAGACCAGGGGAGAGAAGAAAGTGTTGGACTCTGCTGTGGGGGTCTAGAGCGTGGGAGAGTCAGGACTGCCTGGTTGCTCCTGCCCTGGCCTCAAGCAGGAGATGAGTCCTGGCCCACAGTGTTGCTGAAGGGCAGCCTTTGTCCTGTACTGCTCCATCACCCCCCGCTAGCACAGTGCAGCCTGGTACGACTGGGTTGTCTGACTGGCTTTTCTTTCTCTCCTGCCAGGTGATGTGTAGATGAAGAACTCGTCTGGACAATTTTGTTTTCTTCTAATTTTTTGGTAAAATAGCACCATGGAATATTCTAGGGCGTCCTTGAGATTCAGTTACTTCACTTTCTAAGGAAACTTAAGTTGTAGAATCTAAAATACACTTTTTTTTTAAAGAAAAAGAGTTGTGGGAGGGTTTTTCTACCTGTAAATGTAAATCCTTTTTTTTCTGATAGTCTAGGTCACTGCCTGCCTCTGTCCTGGGTTTCTTTGTGTTGGTACAGAGGGGTGGGTGGGAGCACAACTTCTTCATGTCTGGGAAGAACTGGGTGTGTTGTGTCAGGCCATTCTGAAACGCCCTCCTTGCCCCACCTCCGCCTTTGGGGCCACCCAAGGAGCTGTGGGTGACAGACCTGACCACGCAGGGAAGCGTGCGTGGTTCCTCCTGAGCTGCTCCACTGGCCGCGGCCGGCATGGGCTGCGTTCCCAGCAGGTCTGTTGTCCTGCCCTGTTTATGTGGTCGGGGAGAGACTGCTCGGGTCTGGAGACGGCCCGATCCGACCGGAGGGTTTAGGAAAGTAGTTCTGTGTCTTTCCCAGTGCATCACCTGGAGCAAAGCTGCACCTTTCCTTAGCGTGAGTGGCACATCTGCCGGGGCGGCTCCTGGGGAGGAGCGAGCAAAGGGTCGTTCCTCAGCGTGTGCCACACAACCCAGACCCACATGCGGTGCCATTCCGTGTTGGGTGGATTCCCAGTTAGCTCCTCCAGAGCTCCTTCAGTTACCCTCTTAAACAGACAACCAGGAGGCAGTGTTAGAGCCGGGCACTGGTAAATGATTGCTGGTAACTTATTTCATGGGTGATGATTATCTCTTCTCAAGCTGCTGCAGTGGGGGACGGGGCGGTGTGGACGGGCGCTGCGGTGCTGGGGGTGGTGTAACAGCGTGTGTTCTTGTGTTGGAGCCACCGCGATGTTTGTGTGCCACAGGAGCCTGAGGGCAGGCAAATCCTCAGTGGAGTCTAATACCTTTATTGCTGGGTAGCATCGAACTGTTCCATCTGTTAACACACTTCACAAATAAAGATGATTCCTCTCTTTTTTTTTTTCCATCTTTGTTTGGACTCGTGTGTCTCTTACCTATGGGCTGCACCCCTGTGTTGCCTGACGTGCTGACTCATTTCTGGCTGTAGAACATGATGCTGTGTCACAGTTCAGTGCCAGCTCTGATCGTGCTCTCATCACCAAGTATTTGCAGCTGGAGAGGTGCAGGAGCCTTTGCGAAGGGAAGCGGGCAGCACTCCCTGCTCCGCAGAGCCCGGATGAATGCCAGTTGCTGGGGCACACTTGCCTGTTTGGGGACAGGTGTCACCCCACCCTGGTGTGCTGTTTCTCGGTGTCGTGGCGCTGCGGGGTCGGGGATCAGCCCCAGCCTACAGGTCCTTGCAGGATGGTGCTGCTCGTGTGCCTCGTGCTTCTCCGAGCTGTTATTTTTCTTTCTGCCAGCTCTTTCCTGTGGGGGAGGTGAAGGTGTGGGGGCTTTTTTGCCAGCTCTGTGCACAGTGCGGTGCCTGCAGAGGGCACAGAGGATGCGGTGGGGGGCCCTTTCCTGCTGCCGGCCCTGGGGCTGAGCTCAGTGTGCTCCTGCCCTTGGGCTGGAGAGGAGCATCCATGTTCTCCCGGCTGGTCTGGGGGTGCAGGTGGTCCCAGTGGGCAGGCGCCCTGGCGCCCTGAGCCTGTAGCCAAACGCTTCTCCCTGCCCGGGAAGGAGCGATTGCCCCCTGATTGTAGGGCTGTGCCCTGGGAGCTGCTGGCTGCGGTGTGGTGGCAGGTCTGGCAGTGGTGCCCGGAGCTGCGGTGGCTCTGTCCCTCTTGGTG